CTGTGCCTAGAACAGGGGCGAGAGCTGCTTTCTTGACCAGAATACTTCATTCAGTCATGTAATACTTTCAGGCAGCTGTAACTTCACTGCTTTTGAAGGGTCCTCTGGTACTGCATGTTTTTTTTTAAAGGATGAAATGTTAGAAAAATACTTACACTGGATTTAACATACTCTAAAAAATCATCATATGGTTAAATTCCATCCTACCAGTGAGCATGCAGTGTCCCAGTGTCTTCCATGTTCCTCAAGCAAGATACACGTGTCCATACCTCTTGTCATCCTCCCTCCATGGCATGCTCTCATTTGTTCTTGGCTACTGCTCAGGACTCAGTGCGTGGTTATAATAAAGACAAGATTTTACTCCTCAGATCTAGTAAGACTGCTCCAGCAGTCTCCCAAAAGCACACGTTGGTGTCTAGGAAGCACTTAAAAATTACTTTTCAGATTTGAATATCTGACTGGGTTTCATCAACCATTACAATAAAGGATGAGCAAGGTTCCCGTGCATTCAGGAAGAGGTGTTCATGCTGCTGTTTGATGTGTAGCAAACTTGCATCTGAAGGGAGAATAGTAGGCAAGACTACTTGAAAACTCTGACCATTTTGAAACATCGCATTAGGCTGGTGAACCTGCTGCAGGTTCTTGGACAGATCTTGGAATACAATAGATTAATATCTGCATGATGGCTTAATGCAGGAAAAACAACCACGTAAAATACAGATTCCATCAGTGGATTTGGAAAGTACTATGCATTCAGATGTGCATCAGTTGTGGATTAAAAGACTCACAGATCTTGTGTGTCAGCATTAAAAAATGGTTCATGCATATTTCGTGCCATTATTTCATGCCCCAGCAGTTAATTGTCTGTATGAAAGTGGTGTGTCTGCCTCATAGCAGCTGGGTTTGGGAAGTTTGCAGATGATAGTGGAAAAAAAACCTGTTACACAGCATGTTTTGTCTGCAGCTGTGGTGTAAGCTCAGTCGGGATCCCCACAAAAAATGTCCTGAGCTAATTTGGGCTTCTGCAGCCACTGCTCATCAGCCGGCGTTGGCAATGAGGTCCTCTCCCAAGTCAACGCTTGAGTTTTGGGCCCAGAATAGCATCCCAGGGGGTGAAGTTGTTTCCCGAAAAGCCCTTCTGAAACAGCAGCTGGGTCTGGCTGCCTGTTTTGACATGCTCATCTGCTCTCTCTCTTCACCTGTGAGTGGTGAACAGGCAGGGAACAGGAAATCATTTCAAAAACTGTAGCTGTTGCTGCTACCACAACTTTCGTATTCTTCTCATTAGTGCAGTGGTGGCTTCTGAAGCTGCAACTACCTGAGCAGTTGTGCCGTAAACCTCCCCCTCTGTTTGTGATGGCCGGGCACATCTGTTCCTTAACTCTCTGTACTTTGAAAGCGGTACTGGCAGCCAGAAGAGTAGTAGGTTGTGGAAGAAGAGGCTTTGTGGGCTTTTTAATGAGTGCAGGGGTGGAATGTGGAGACATAGAGGAGGTTTCCTCATTCACGTCGCATTTTGGGATCAGTCTCATGTTGCACAGTGGTAGCACAAAGGTTGGGACACTTGCCTGTGAGATTACGAGGGTGGTTTGGGGGAGAACTTCTCCATTGCACCAGGGGGAAGCAAAGATCCATGGTGAAAGCTAGTTTTTTGCTCTTCGTCATGGCGTGGGCATGTTTTGCTGGTTATTACGAAATTACTCTGTTCACTTAGATGGGAGCTCAGCATGTGTGTTGCAGCAACAATGCTATTACTGCCTGTTGTTTGAAAGAATTACCATTTAAGAAGTACTTTAGGGTTGCAAATTTATTCTGAGCTCTTTGAAGATAGTATATGATGTATTTTAACTCTTCAGGGTCAAAATGAGTGTTTGTCCTTTCATTCTACTTTCTTTACATGGCATAGAGGCACTGTGGTTTTTCACCTCTTTGTGCACATTTACATTGGTGCTGCATGTAGTCACTGGTACCCAGTGTAGGTTGGCAGTACATGTTTCCATCCAGCACGCAGTTGCAGATCCATCAGACTAGAATTTTGCTTTCTAAATTTTACCTTTACATTCTAAGTAAGGAATTTGACTTGGATGTCAGAATGCCTGATTGTGCAGTATCTGGGATTGTTAGTCATTTTTGGTCTTACTGGTTGAAACGTTCCACAGCAGTGGGAAGGTTGCGCCTTCACTGGTGACCTCACAGCGGTCCTTTATAAAGATCTGTATGCTGTTGAGGGGTAAAGCAAACTACTGCATTGTACAGTGGAACACTTGGAAAAAACATTTCAGGAGATGCATTATTTATCTGGAAGAGTTTATCTTTCTCAAGTTTACTGGATAAGAATAAACTTATCAACCATGATGACATTTTGAGACGCTTGAGAGTAGAAGTTTCCGTTACTCATGTGATGTTCCCTGTGGGTGACTGTCACATTAATGGGTTAGTTACTTCTGTGTTTTTTCACTTGGTGACATGCTTAAAAATAAGGACTTTTCCTCTGTAACAAGGTTTAAAGTGTCTAAGTTGAAAGCTAAAAGAAGGTTCATAATAAAAATGTGTGTTCACACTTTTGGAGAAAACAGGGTTCTGTTGGTTCGTTATTTTTGAATGCATTCAAATTAGGAATCAACTTGATAGGATAAAGTATTTCAAGTGTGTATTACCTGTAATGTAAAAATGATCTAATGATACTAAAATTACAGTGAAATCTTAATATAAACATTAAACCTGTATGGAAATACATAGTCACAGTGGTAAATCTAGTGATTTGCTTGTCATGTTTTTTGTGGTAATGTGATCCTTATGTGAAAAGTATTATAGGATTAATGAGTTCTTGTAAAAATTTATTTAAGCTCATGAAATAATGTAAATGTATTTGATAGTAAAATAACAAGTTTTATCAAACTTCTGTTCAGAAATGTCTACTGTTCTGACAAATACTATTGTTCTGATTTAGGCTGTACTTTCAAATATCTGTTGTATCCTGGTTATAAAACTGACCTTTTCACATTAAAAAATGTTAATTTAACTAAGTTAAGTTAACTAAGGGAGCATTGGCTGAGGTTTCTAGTGAATATGTGTGTGCATTGTGTCCACAGTAACTTTCAGGCAGCTCCAGCTTCTTTTTTCCCCCAGTGTTCTACGGTACTCTGATGGCTTCAGACTTCTTTGAAGCGTCCAACTAAATCAGAGGAATGAATAATTTAAAAAATGGATGGCTGGAGACTGTAGACCTTGTTTTTGGAGAGCAATAAAATCCAAAGAAAGTTATTAAATTAAAAGGTGGATAGTTTTCTTGCATTAAAAGAAAATTCAGCCAGGCTTTCTGCCCTCCTGATATGTCTCACACAGAAAATCTAATCATAAAAGTAGAGCTTATTGTTAGCGGAGTAACGTCAACCTGTGTCAATCCAAGCCACTGCCTCATTTCTGTAAAAGGATAGTTCTTCAAGGCATTAATTGCTTAAATGGGGTAAGGAAAGTGAGTCTGTAAATAATTAACTCAAAGGTATAGATTGTGGACTGAAAGAAGAGTTTCAAGTACAGGTTTACATTACAATACACACAGGAAGAGATGTTTTCTTCACATGGTGAACATAAGAAGACTGCAGACTTCAAGGTGGTGTGAACTTGGAACAGCTAACAGTGCCCATCGAAGTTCTTCTTGATGTCATCAGTTAGTACTTGGATGAGGATCATGCTTAAATTATGTAGTAAGAACCGTGTTTTCGATGGCAGTGGGATTGTGCCATAATTAAAATCCTGGCTTTGGTCCCTATTACCATCTTCCTTTTCTAGCAGCTCACCCTTCTAGTGCGCAGCAGATGTTGATGGAATCATTCATGGTAGTCAGTTTATCTGGATACACACTAAATGTTTCCTGTATTACACTTTTTTAATGCAGTTTTGTTCTTCCGGTGCTCCTGCTCTTTAATTCCCATTAGTACTTTTAAAGTAGTCTTATTGCTCCTTTTGTTATCTAAGAATAATGACAACAGAGCTACAGATTTCATAATACCCTGCAAAAAAGCAGTTGTCTGAAAATCAGTAGGTTCCATGCAATAACTGAGATGTTTGGAAAGGAAGTAAATGTGATTAAAGTTGCATGTGTGAAAAGGGGAAAAGTCATAGAAGAAATAGTATTTCAGAGTTTCTGTATTGGCTTGAATTGTTGGGCAAGACTTTGTGTTTTGTTGCATCAGCTACACCAACAGCTTAGGGTGAATTGCTGGGTATACTCCTGCTGGATGTTCCACCTGACAGTTTTTAGTAAATGTGTGTTGCAGCTTTCTCTGTTCTCTGCTTGCTTTCTTCTGAGTGTCCTTTCTGAAAGTCATGCTACAAGGGGGAAAGAAGTTCTGTTTTCACAAAAGTCCTTATTTTATTCATTTCTTTATTAATAATTGTAATGATGGAATGGAAGGAAGATGAATATCATGTAAATTAACTTAGATATGTGTCCTTGAATGGTGGATCCAAGTGTGGTGAAGAGAAAGTCAATTTATTCAGGACATTTATTCAAGTAGTTGCTACTTCATAGCCTCTAGAGTAAAAGCTAATTTTAATCCCTAACGAAAAGGAAACAAAAGCATTTGTTTTAACTAGATGTGCATGTATATTTTGCTAGCAAAAAAGAGTGTTTTATTTCCTGAAACATGATTGAGCCTTAGGAGGGCTGCATAGGAGGGCATGACCTCTATAGGTGCAGAGAGCTTAGGTTTAATTATAGCCAAACCATTAATTTCATAACAGAATGCTGAAAACAAAATGTCTGATTAATGTTTAACTGTCACTAATAACTCCAAAGACGTCCTTTGGTTGGTGTGATTTTCCTATCTATTTGCAAGTTACTGAGAACTTGGGAAGTTGTTGAGATAAAAAGTCAAGGTGGTGCCACTGCTGTTATGTTTTCCAATCACCTGTTTAAATATGTCACTTTTAAAATTAGAGATTTAGAGATTTTTCTCTAAAGTGGCTTTTTTTGTTTGTTTTTTTTTGTCTTTAAGATAAAGCACCTTTGTCAAAGAGTCTGTTACTAGTCCCAAGTGCCATCTCGATTCTATTGACTCTGCTCTTCCAACATTATCAGAAGTTCTTTGCATATAACCTACAAGCTATAAAAGAGGATTTTCAGGTAAGAGTCAGTTCATTTTGCGTGGAAAGAGGCTGCAAACTATGCTCTTCTATGAGATTTTTTTTTTTCCCCAGTCTGTTTCTCCTCTGGTTCTTTCCCTTTGTTCACTGTTGTAGACCAGATTGTTCTTACCTTTTTTTATGTCACCCCATGAGGCCACTTTTTGGAAGAAGTGAGGAAAAACTGATCTGAAACTATCAACATGGCTTTTCACTTCTTTCTTGTGTCTGGGAAATGATTGGATTTGTATCATTTTTCCTTCCAGCCACTGGCATTTGGAAGCTTGCTGTGAATGAAGTGTGATTTAACCCATGTAATAATATAAGTATTTTGATATGAATGTTAATATCTTGTTCTTAGTTTTTGAGGCTGAAGAGGACTATTGTGATCAGGTATTCTGATTATATATGATTTACGTTAACAACACAGGCGATAACTTTCACTCTGTAACTTCTGTTGTAGTTAGTTGTGGGAAACTGAAATTTGCCTGTTGAAGAGAACTGCTTCTTCTAATTTGAAGATTCCAAGTGATGGGGGAGTTTGTCATGCTCCTCAGTAATCTGCTGAATTGGTTAATTATCTTACTAGACATTTCTTACTTATTCCCAGTTCAAACTGAGATACTTTATCTTTTAGGTATTGCATCTTGTAAGATTTTGTTCTCAGCTTAATTAAGAATCCGTTAGTTATCAGTTGTGATTGTTGAAATAATGCACTTAGAAGTGATTAGATAAGTTTTGTGGCGATTTGTTGGGGGTTTTTTTTGGTTTTTTGGAAATGGCATACTACCACAGAGAAGGGTCAGCAAATGCCTCTGTAGTTATCTTATCCCACACGTTTTACAGTTACATCAAAAAAAAGTATGTAGTCAACTTAATGTCTTTGAGGATGCTGACTGTAGCCTGTAAGCCTTAAAAGGTTATTAGACCTAGCTAGTGATACTCTGTGCCGTAGCACTATCTGTGATCTTTCTTGTCAAGAACAAGAGCTTTGTTGTAATGATGTAAATTACAACTCTGCAAGAACACTGATCATGTTTTCCAAGTGTCTTGCTGATGCTGTGTAGCAAAAATACACAAATTAATGTCTGCCTTTTAAAAATGTTACAACCAAGTGTTTGGGGAGGGGGAGGAGAAAGTCTGAGAAACTATTCAAGTTTTAAATGGAAATTTTGTGGGTTTGGGGTTTGTTTGCTTATTTGTTTTGCAGTTTGTCTTTAGAAGAGTCCTCTCTTTCCATTTGTTTGATCTGCTGAAAAACAGTAGTAGCTGTGTTTTATTCAAAGGAACCATCTTTACTGTGTCTTAAGCATAAACATTTGCAAGTATCTGTAGAAGCTGTGTCTTTTATTGTGGTGCTTTGGGGAATTTGTGGGTTTGGGTTTTTTTCTTTCCTGAAATTGTTGTTTCATTTATTGTCATAGCCTTTGGAGTAAGCTTTATACTGTATAATTGCATACCTCTGAGATCAGGGAGAGCAGATTGTTTAACTCCTGTCTGATGCTAATATTCAAATGAGAACACTTACAAGAAAATTTGTTTAGAATAAATGCATCAGGGGGGATGAGTTTAATGGAATGGAATTTTTCCAGGGGCTGAACAGACATTTTGGATATTGAATATTAGCACTTGTTAAAGCTGATAGAAAGCATAGGAAATATAATGTGCAGTTGCAGAAGAATGCTTTTGATTTGGAAGGCAAAATATGTACTGTCCAAAACTAAAAGATCTTTGTCTCCATAAAGGGGACCCTCAAGAACAGTGAAGAAACTGTGTGTAAAATTAAGATCTTGATTACATTAGACCTATGGTTTTTTTAGGCTGGCTAAAGTCAAGCACAATTAAACTTAGAAGCCTTCCATAGCCTATGCAAGGGCTGTTCAGTTAATGTGTATCATGAAATGTTCAGCTTCAAGGTCACAGCCCTGCCAGTTTGGACTCCAGGAGGGCTGGTACTCAAGCTACTGGCTAGTTTTTAACATTGGGCATGTTGACATGGGACAGCTAGAATGGTGAGGTCCCACTTCTTTCTTCTTGCTCAGTCCTTTGGTATGCCGGGGAAGTTAGAGGCTGAAGCATCGGTTGAGGCCTGAAGACCTTGAGAAACGTAAGGCTCAGGTAGTGTGTTGGTACTTGGACTTCCACAGAGGGGAGTGTGTTGGTACTTGGACTTCCACGGAGGGGAGAATGCCTAGCAGGCTGTGGCTTAGGAAAGGGAGCTGGGAGAGCCAAAGCTGAGCGGGAAGCTAGCGAGGGAGATGAAAGGCAGCAAGGAAGGTTTCTGTAACTACATCTGCAGCAAAAGAAAGGCTTAAGGAGAGTGTGGGCCCAGTCCTCATTGTGGCAGGGGTCCTAGGTGACAAGGGATATGCAAAAGGCTGAGGTATTCAGGCAGATATATTTGTTATTGTACTAGCATGTTTTGCCTTCAGGCCTCCAAGGTCCCTAAGCCTTCTGGCAGAGTCTGTGAGAGTGAAGCAGTATCCACTGTTGAGTTAGGGATCACTTAACCTAACTATACACACACAAGTTAATGGTACCAGACGGGTGGCCTCTGAGGGTGCCAAATGAGCTGGAAATGTAATTGTGAGTCCTTTCTCTAGCATCTTTGAAAGGTCACGACAATTGGTGGAGGTACCCGTTGACTGGAGAAAGGCAAACATCAAACCCATCTTCGGGAAGGGCAGGAAGGAGGATCCAGGTAACATCAGGCCACTCAGCCTTATCTTGGTCCCTAGGAAGGTCATGGAGCAAATCTTTTCAGAAGCCATTTCTCAACACATGCAGGACACAAAGGTGACTGGGAGCAGCCAACCAAGGTGAAGTGGACAGATCCTGTGGGTCACAATTGGTTGCACAGCTGGTGTCGGCAACAGGGTTTTGGATTTTGTGCCCATGGGACCTTCTCTGAGGTTTGAGGACTACTTAGAAGAGATGGGATCCACCTGACCAAGTGGGACAAAAGCATCTTTGCTAACAGGCAAGTCAGCCAGAGGAGAACTTTAAGGAACGACACAGGAGGAAGATGACAACCCACAGTCAAGTGAGGAGGCAGTGGACTGGGTTAGTCAGTAAAGGGTATAGGGTGAAGTGAACAGAAGGGATCTTGTAATCAACAAAACAGGACTGAAAAGGACCTACTTCAAGTGTATGCAGATAAATAAGGAAGTGTCTACGGGACAGCATTGTGTGGAACACTCCCATACGTTTTCTGGGAAATCAGTGTGACTGGATGCCTCTCTGAAGTGTCTGTACACTCGTGCATGCTACATAGGGAACAAATAAGAGGAATTAAAGGTCATATGCCATTACAGGGCTGTGATCTCATTGGTGTCACAGAGATGTGGTGGGTTAGCTCACGTGACAGGAGTGCTGCAACAGGCAGATAGAAGCTCTTTAGGAAGGACAGGAAAGGAGGGGAATTGCTCTTTATGTGAAAGAGCAGCAGGACTGCACAGAGCTTTGTCTTGGGACATGAGGAAGTTGAGAGTTTATGGGTCAGGATTAGAAGGGGCAGACCAGCAGAGCCAACTTTGATGGTGGTGTTTGCTACAGGCCACCTGATCATGAAGAAGTAGATGAGGCCTTCTTCAGACACTTGGAAGAAACCTCACTATTTCAGCCCTTGGCCCTCATGGAGGATTTTAACCATCCTGATACATGCCAGGAAGACAACGCAGCAGGGCACAAGCAGTCCAGGAGGTTTCTGGGGTGCATTGATAGCAATTTCCTAACACAGATGATCGAGCAGCTGATGAGGGGAGACATTGTGTCTGAACCTCACACGTACAAACAAAGAAGAAGAACTGGTTGGGCATGTGAAGATCAGGGGCAGCCTTTGTTTCAGTGACCATGAGATGGTGAAGTTCAGGGTCCTGAGAGGAGGGGACAAGGCAAATTGCAGGATTGCAACCCTGGACTTCAGGAGAGCGGACTGGCTCATCCAGTGTGCAAGAGTCAAGCAAAGGTGTCAGGAGGCCTGCATGGATGAACGAGGAGCTCCTGACTAAACCTAAACATAAAAATGAAGCACACGAGAGGTGGAAGCAGATCAGATGACCTGGGAGGAATATGGAGACACTGTCTGAGCATGCAAGGATGGATTAGGAAAACCAAAGCCCACCTGGAGTTGAATCTGACAAAGGACATGAAGGGCAACAAGAAGGGCTTCTACAGGAATATCAGCAAAAGGAAGACTAAGGAAAATGTGGGCCTGCTGCTGCATGGGAATGGGGACCTTGAAACAGAAGACATGGAAAAGGCCGAGGTATCCAGTGCTTGCATTGCCTCGGTTCTTTACTAGTAAAGTTTACTTGTTTTCAGCAGTCCTAGGTCCCTGAGATCAGTGTGAAAGTCTGGAGCAACAAAGGCTTAAACTCAGTGAAGGAGGATCAGGCTAGGGAACATTGAAACTAACTGGATATACACAAGTTCATGGGACCTGATGGTATACACCAACAAGTTTTGAAGGAGTTGGCTCGTGTCATTGTGAGGCCACTCTGGATTATCTCTGAAAGCTCATTGCAATCAAGGAAGGTTCCTGAGGACTGTAAGAAAGCAGATGTCATTCCTATCTTCAGGAAAGGCAAGAAAGGATCTACAGGCCAGTCAGCATCACCTGGATCTCTGGGAAGTCCTCCTAGAAATCATTTTCAGCCACACAAAGAACAATAAAGTGACTAGCGGTAGTCAGCACAGATTTATGAAGTGGAAATCTTGTTTGACTAACCTAATAGCTTTCTATGATGAGGTAGATGACTGTCTTGGTGGGTGAGAGGAGAGAAATGGATGTTTTTTGTTTTGACCTTAGTACTGCTTTTTACACTGTCTCCCGTAACATCCTCGGACAAACTGATGAAGTGCAGATTAGGTAAGTGAGCAGTGAAGTGGATTGAAACCTGGTTGACCTGAAGGGCTCACAGGGTTGTGATCAGCTGGAGGCCAGTCCTTAGTGATGTACACCAGGGATGAATATGGGGGCCAATACTGTTTAGTGTCTTCATTCATAACCTGGGCAGCAGGAGAGTGTGCTCTCAACAAGCCTGAGGATGATGTAAAACTTGGATGCATAGTTGATAACCTGTTAGTTCTGCTGCCATTCAGAGGGGAGAAAAGTGTCAACAGGAACCTCAAGAAGTTCAGCAAAGGCAAATGCCAAGTCCTGCCCTTGGAGAGGACTAACCCCATGTACCTGTACAAGCTGGGGGCTGACCAGCTGGAAATCAGCTTTACAGAAAAGCCCCTGGGGTCCTCGTGGAGGACCAAGTTGAACATGAGCCAGTAATGCAGCATTGTGGCTAAAACTGCCAACAGCATCCTGGGCTGCATTAGGAAGAGCCTCACAAGGAGGCCTGGTGGGGCAATCCTTCCTCTCTACTCAGCCCCAGTGAGACCATATCTGGAGGGCTCCTGAGTACAAGATAGACCTTGACATATTGCACTGAGTCCAGTGGAGGGCCACTGGTATGGTCAGGGTCTGGAGCATTTGGTGTATGAGGAGAAGCTGAGAGAGCTGGGATTGTTTAGCCTAGAGAAGAGAAGACTCGGAGTGGATCTTACCAATGTGTGTGAATACCTGACAGGAGGGAGCAAAGAAGAGGGAGGCAGGCCCAGTGGAAGGACAAGAGGCAATGGGCACGAATTGAAATACAAGAAATTCCATTTAAAGAAAAAGGTTTTTTACTGTCAGACTGATCGAACAGAGGAACAGGTTCCCCAGAGAAGTTGTGTAGTCTCCATCCTTGGAGATATTCAAAATAAGACTGGGACATGGTCAGTTAACATCCTGCTCTAGTTGACTTTATTTTGAGTGAAGATGTCGGACTAGATGATCTCCAGAGGTCCCTTCCTACCTCAACCTATGATTCTATGAAAGCATGCCTGACCAACTGGTTGCTTTCTTTCATGAGGCAAGTGGTGCTGCGGACAAGGGGGAGTCTGGATTTTGGACCTTGACTTTAGCAGGGCCTTTAACCCAGTCTCCCATTGTGTCCTTGAAGCCAGATTGGTGAGGTATGTACCGAATAACTGGACAAGAAGACAGGTGGAAATTTGTCTGGACTCTTAACAGAGATGTGGTCATTGGTGCAAAGTCCACCTGGCAGGTATTAATTAGGGCAGGGCCCCTCAGGGATCAGTATTGGGACCAGTACTCTTTAATGTCTTCATTAGTGACCTGGATGATTCTATGGAGTGCACTCTATGCACTCTATGCAAGTTTGTGGGTGATCCAAAATTGGTGGGAATGGTCAATATGTTGGAAGCCAGGGCTGCTATTCAGAGAGACCTTGCCAAGCCCAAAAAATGGGCTGGCGGGAACTTCATGAAGTGGAAAGTCCTGCTTTTGGGATGGATAACTCCAGACTGCAACAGTGCAGGCTGGGGGAGGGGCGGGGCAAGTGTTTGGGAAGTAGCTCTGCAGAGAAGGACCTGTAGATCTTGGTGGACAACAGGAATCAGCAGTGCTCTCTTGCAGCTAAGAAGGCCAGCCACCTCCTGGACTGTATTAGTGACAGTGTGGCAGTAGGTCAAGGCAAGTGGCCCTACACATCTAGTTGACAGTGCTCCAGATGTGGTCTCACAAGTGCCCAGTTCTGGGATCCTCAGTACAAAAAAGATACGAACACACTGGAGCGGGTCCACCAGGACAGTCAGAGGGTTGGATTATGTGACATACAAGGAGAGGCTGAGAGAACTGGGTCTGCCCAGCCTTGAGAAGAGAAGGCAAAGAGGAGACACCTTATTGGTGTCTACAAGTACCTAATCAGAAGCTATAGAGAAGCTGGAGCCAGACTCTGCTTGGAGGAGTACTGAGGTAGTGCAAGAGGTAGGGGATGCAAGGTGGAACATGGAAAATTCTGCCTACATGTAAGGATTTTATTTATTTTTTTAAACCGTGGGGATGGCCAAACACTGGCACAAGTTGCCCAGAGAGGTTGTGGAATCTCCATCTTTGGAGGTGTTCAGGACTCAACTCGACATGGCCCCGAGCAAGCTGATCGGATTAGACCTGCTTAGAACAGTACACTGGACTGGCTGATATCTGGAGGTCGCTTCAAAAATACTCTTTTTCTGTAATTTTACAGTTTACTAGGGTTGTGATTTCCATTTTTATTTGTAAATGTGAGCTAGGGACATAAAAATATATTTGACCTCATTTAATTTGTAGATTTATTCTAACAGGTAGACCTCTTCCTTGAAAATATTTTATTTTTAAACAAACTTCTTGAACTCTCCATAACATTCTACTCTCTCTATTTCCCTCCTTAAATGTACTGCATTTCTGTTATCTGACTTTGGTATTATACTCACTCTGAGCACAAATTCTGTAAAGAATTTCCTTGAAGGAAGAGAAACTTAACATGATGATCTTTAACCTTCTAGATTTGGAGACTTGTATGTGGGAGAACAGTATGTCTTGATCTGAAGGACACATTCTGCAGCAGTCTGCTCATTTACAACTTTAGAATATTTGAAAGAAGATATGGCAGCAGAAAATTTTCAGTAAGTTCCAGTTACATCTTTTTTTTAACAGAAACTATTTTCTACGCTGTTTAGATGTAGTCTTGGATTAATATTGCAGTTTTATTACTAACATTTTGTATAGAAAATAAAGGGTTTTAAAGAGAATTTGGTTTTCATAAATCTAAATTTATATTGATAATATCTTTCAATCACTGGATTATTCTAACTAAAGTTTGCAGCTATCTCAGTTGAAAGTTAGCAGACCCATAGAATTTAATTTTGGTAACGAATCTAACTCTTCATTCTTCAGTATCTAGACATGTAGATCTGGAATTATGTTGTGATAACGATTTTATTTATCTTAATTGAATGTGTATAGTGGTTTTCTTATTTTGTCTTTTATTTAGAGATACATTAAAACCTTATTTTTGAACTGTTGAGTTAATTCAAATTAAACTTTTTCTTTCCAGTCCTTTTTACTGGGTGCTTGGATGCTCTCAGCTTTGTTTGATCTTCTCCTTGTAGAAATTGCTGAGTATATATTTGGCATCACCATCAACAGCTTGCCTTCTGGTTTGTAAGTAGTTCCTAATGGATTGGTTATTTTAGATGTAGTTTCAAGGGATTATTTTGTGCAGATTTTAGTTTAAAAAAACTTTCTTCATGTAGCCCTTCAAATTAAATTTAATCCTCTTTTGAACTACAGTATAAAGGTTCTGACATAACTATTATGTTTTGAATATCCATTTCCTAGTTGTGAGCTGTGGTTAATTAATTTATGATTTATCCATATAATGATTACTTTCCATTCTGTTAGTCGCAGTTCCACTGTTCCAATCAATCAGCATGATTGAAAAGCTGCTTGCAGTGCACAAATTACTGCCGTATTTGGTTTTGTTCATTTCAATAAATCTCGTAACTGAAATCAGGTTGGTGCTGATTTCTTTCTTAAATCACAAAGATAGCACAACTGTAATTCATATCTTTATGTTCACTTTTAAATGCATATGCAGTTATATGCATTTCATACCGGTATTTCATATTCGTGTTTCAAAAATTGAGTGCTAGAGCATGTTATTCCACTTAGTGTTTGCATCTGAAGCTCTTAAAGCTTTAAGGTATTTAGTGGTTCAATTTCACATAATCTATATTTGAGATTTCTGCATTTAATAGGAGCTGTACATGTTACAGTAGATCTGTAGAGCTTGCAGAGCCTTTGTGGTTAAGCTTCTGACAAGTGAGATCAGCCTCATACAGACTTGAGTTTCCATGTGTTGCACACTCTGAAGTAATAATAAAAGCTCTTGGAGTGAGATTTTTAATGCTAAACACCATACTAGGGTTTTTTTTTTTTACTTCTACTTTTTTAGTGTGTCTCTTGAAAATAGCTAAAGGCTGATTACTAAGGAAGAAAAAGCATGTGTTTGACATTATAAAGATGTCTTTTTTTGTAGTGTATGAGTTTTCAAAAGGAGTAATACTGCAGTTATTCATCATGTTTGCTACCTTGGAGTTTGTTGCTTGGACATAGGCTGCTAGTGTGTCTGGACAAATTCAGTATTTTAATCTGTGTAAAAAGATACTTTGTGCAAGAGTAGGGTGTAATAAATGCGCACATTACACCCACAGGGAGCTAATGAACAGTTTGACTATTATACCTTTTGATGGTATTTTTACCTATGACTGCAGAATATTGTCAGTTACAAAGAAATCTGCATCAAAGAAATTTTTAGTTGAATGAAATAGAAACATTACCTACATATGCTTTCTTTTTAAGTCATGCTAACATTGATCTTGAGAGAATGAAGCTAATTTTAGAAGTGTGGGATATACAGTAGTTTCAGGAGCATTTGGTTGTGCAAATATAAAAAATTGATATATACGTTGCATCATAATTCTTCAGTGTTGTCTGCTTTATTATACTAATAGTCACTTTCTCATGTCTGGCAATATTCACAGTCTTTTGAGATGACAAAAGCATGGGAAAGTTTAACACCAATACTAGGTTTTAGTTCATTTCAGATTTGCAAAAGCTGTTGAGCAAATACAAAGACGTGCAATTATTATTCTGCTTCTCTCATATTTACAGTGCAACAAATATATCTGTTACTTCTGGCTATAGAACATTCTTCAGTGTAGTAAAAATGCTAGAATTTGGAAGAAGAATCACTTGTTTACATCATAAAAGTCCCCTGACATTTTTTTCTCTTTTTATATCATTTCACTGTTCATATTACTGAGTGATCTTACACTTCCAGTTCTAAAACTTTTCCTGCGTACGCTTCGAAGGTAATTGCGATAAAGGATTACACTGATGACTCTCGCCTGAAATTGTTTAGAAACAATATAGTACAGTATAACGTCCAAGCATGTACTGAGATTCATGAGAAAAGTGGTAAAGGCTGCCCAGGGATTGTAAGTTGTATCTTCATCTTGCAACATCAGGAAGGCGAAGCAAATGTGGAAGGGTACAAAGCAGACGAGTACTTGAGCGATCAGAGTAACTATAATTCTTATGGATCTCTCCTTGGCCTTAGGCTTCAGTTTGGAAGTCTTGCCACGGATAAAATTGTAAATAATGACTAAGTAACACCCCATCATGATAAACAAGGGAATCAAAAAGAAAAAAATCAAGCGAGAAAAGTTCAACGTATTTACTTCCTTTAAATGGATGATATCAAGCATTTTCATGCAGGTGGTGAAATTCGAGGCTTTGTCTGGATCGGATTGTAAAAACAGCAATGGGGACGTTGTTGCAAGGGTCATTACCCAGATTCCAGTACAAGCCAGCATAGCTTTTTTTGTATTTTTTAGTTCTTTGACATGTTTGGGCTGGACAATAGCCATAAATCTGTCTACGCTTATGAAAGTCAGCAACCACAGAGCAATGGCTGGATAAAACACAGTGAAAGCACTGATAATCCTACAGAATGTATCTCCGAAAGGCCATGTTTCTTTCCCATGGTAGATTATCCGAAAAGGCAAGGAAAATATAAAAATTATGTCAAGTAATGCCACATTCATCATATATACAGTTATTGTTGTCCTCTTCTTGGTAGTGCAGCTGAAAACCCATAGTGCAGTGGCATTCACCAGCAATCCCACTGTGAATACAAAACTGTAGAAGACCAGTGATGCAATCCTGTATTCTTCAGGGTGGTGATTTTCAGGCATCGTATTTTAGTTGAATTTAGGTATACTTGTTGCACTCCATAACTACCCTAAAAATAGATAAAATATGAAGAGTTATTCTCAGTCAAATAAAAACTTTCTTTAAAAACAAACAAGATTGTTGTAGGATGAGGTTTAGTGATGAGATTGTATTGTTTAACTGTGAAAATGTGCTAGCTTTGTTGCTTTTTCTGACTACAAACACATTATTGTGCTCTGAAGATAGTACATGCACTGTCAGACTTGTGAGAAATAACATTTATAAGCTAGTTTTAATTAAATATTTTTAATTACTTCAGAGATTTCTTATATAAGGAATCAAAAAGTCAAGATTGACCAGCTACTTTGAGTATGCTTCAGTAGCTCATAATTAGATTGAAACAACTGTAACTGAGGTAAGAGAGCTATTTTCTAAAGAAAATATTTCTTCAAGTTGTCCCTGTTGAAAAATTAATGACTAAAACTAGTTATGAAAAGAAATAATTGAGCATGACATGTAATGACGTTTGAATATGCAAAGTGAAGTATTGACTTTGCATTTTATCTGTGTAGGAACTACTTAGCGCTCGAAAGAATAGGTGCATGCTGTTGCTCATAAAAAGCTATCTTAATAGCTATGTAGCTTCTAATACAGTATTTAATCCCAGGGCATCAGAACCAACCACCTGACATATGAATGAGATTAATAGATTGATAAATTTCCTATTTAAAAAAGTAAAATGATGGGAAGCAGCGCAGTCTCCAACCAGGGTCTGTGTGAACAGTATTTTGTGGGGGAAAAGTTGCTGGCTGGTCCAGAGCACAGTTCTGTTACTTCTCTCAGCTTCTTGGTCATAGGAGTTGGACATCTGAAATGTCATTATGCAGATTCAGGTGATGAGAGCTGAAAGGGACTATCCCCTGGTTTACTTGGGAGCCATTTGAAGGTGGCAGACCTTACCTAATGTTTGCATGGGTGCTTTGGTTAACCTGCACTCCCCCAGCTTTCCTGGCTCTTGCTGCGGTCACAGTTTCATGACTTCATGGGAGGGTTCCTCTTGTTTGGCCTTTTACCCAGCCCTGTGGTAGCTTTGTGAAGAGGAGGAAAGAGTTAGTTGTTTGTCTGATCTTCGCAGTTATGACAGCCAGCTAAGTAACTTCTACGGTATCAGTGAGGCACCAAAACTCTTCTCAAGAGCAGAAGAGTGCATAGTTCCTGTGTGCTTTAGCTCCAAAAGTGGAATGCATTAAAAAAAAGCTTATTGTTACTGCTTGCCTGGTTTATGCTTTCACTGTAATGTTACCAGGTACTTTTTCCAGAATACATAGTGGATTGAACCAGTGTTTATTAATCTAGCATCCTGGTTCGACGCTGGCAAGTATAAGCAGCTTTTGAGAAGAGTATTCATGGAGTAACTAACTTAAGTATGACCTATTAAATCTTTCTTCAGGTTAGTTTCTGCCTTGAAATATGAAGTTTGGACTTCTGTTTTTCTTACAGTTCTCCAGTTTACAAATATAAAAAAAAATTATGCATACAAATATCTAGCCCTAAACTCTTCTCTCAAAGATTTTTTTTTTTTTTTTAGCTGTACAAAACCAAAGCTGTGTTTTCTGATCAGATGAGGTCATTAGAACACGTAACAGAATTTATGTTTTGTATGGGAAAAGCTATGCGTGTAATACTGACAAAAAAGAGGTTTGGAGGGCATCTGTGTGCATGCCTCTAAAATACCTCATTGTGTGAAGAACACTAAAAATAAAAAAAATAAAGAGCAATAGCAGATCTTATTGAAAGGTAGATGACATATGCGTGAAAGAAAATTTTTGTAGCACATGCTTGTAGCACGGTTGAAATATTACCTGGCATAATGTTCCACTTTCATTACTGTTGCATAAAATTGTCCAAATATTGCTTAACACACACCCCCCACCCCTGCACATTTAAAGTGGTTTTTTCTCTTTTGTTCTGTTTTTTTCTCTCTTGCTAGTAGTTGTGTATGACATAGTGCATGACTACCTATCTCAAGATCCTGAGTGATTTGGCAGGTGAATTGAGTAGTAATGTATAGGATAGGTAGAAGAATTCACTTTGTATAGATGGAAGTTAATAAACAGCATGGATTTTGGTTTTGGTTTTGCTCTTCTCTCCTTTGGACTTGCAGTGACTGTAATCATTTCTGGTCAGGTCCTGTTTCCAAAATAACCAGCAGGCTGATGTTAATGCGAAGAGGGGAAGCTGAACCTGGCATGAGCTTCTATCAGGAAAACCTGTGGTTCCATGCCTTGTTTGCTGGTTATTTCAAGTTTGTGCCAGTTTTGAGATATATCAAAGATGGAGATACATCTTTGACATACATCAAAGAATGGAGCTGCTGTAACAAAAAGGGGTTTTTTTTGTTTAGTTGTTGAAGATGCTGTTTCCAA